ACTAAAGTGTGGACAGATAACAACAGGAACAAAAGACCTGCACCTGTGTTTTCATGCAAAATCAATCAGTAAGCAGGTCAAGTTCAGGGGAGAAACCATGTTTTTCACCAACGGAATTCAACATTAAATGGTTTTTATTGGATTAAACATTTTCTCAAATTCATTGTTTCCCAAGCAAACTGGAAAGAAACAGCACCCTTGGAGTAACATATGTGGGGTTCATTAAGTGATGTACAAGTAAAATATTGGGACACCTCTGAAATCTAGCCCATTGCTCCATTTTCTGTAAGTGAATATGAGGAGACAGCCACACCCACGTGTACCTTGTGATATGTCAGAGCAGGGAAGCTGCAACACAGACCATAGGGGCCTCAGAGTAGGAATGTTTACTTACAAGCTATCTACCCTTAAACTATACCACCAACTTACTGTTTTCTTCACTTTCCCGTCCTCCTCCCAGTTTTATGTATTGTTGCATTTTTAGGGACAATCTTCCCATTCAATTTGAGTAAAAGAAATGAACTTAACACACTTTAAAGTTGGAAAATAAAAGCACATTAGAATTTCAACTTAACACACCTGGGCTACTTTGCTAATTACCAAATGTCTAACAATGATTGTTGCTTCATTTTTTGTATAGTCACACAGCTTTTAATATGTGAGTCTGAATTAGAGTCTAATAACTGTTGGATGCTTCCATTTCTTTTGTCTTGCTCAGCTCCACAACCATTCAGTTTCTACTGAGGGCTTGTGTAAATAAAGGGATATATAAATAAGGGACTTTACTTGGCCTCTGGGTGCTTACACAGTAAACACAAAACAAATGGTTGGTTGGTGTAAGAATTACACAGAAATCATCTGGCAAGCATACAGGGGTATGTCCATCAATGGGAAATTAAAGGATGGCTTCAATGGGGCAGAGTTCAGGCTTAGAAGATGCAGGATTGACAAAATGGAAAAAAAAGAATCAGAAGGCTTTTTCCACTGGAGAAAACTTACGCAGTCATGAGGAGAAGGAGCAGAATAGAGGTTGGATTTTGTGTAGTTTTGTTGGAGCTCTATAGAACACCCAGGCAATGGTAGACTTCTTGATACAATGAGCTCTGATTTAGTGAAGTACTATTTTAGAGTTTTGTACAGGGTGGTACAGGAAGATATGCCTTTAAGAAAGAGAACATCCTGGATGTTAGAAATTTGGTTCAGGGTCTCCTACAAATGCTCAGTTAGGGATGACAAAAACAGTAGTGGAAACAGAGAAGAAGGGGAAATTTCTAAAAGGGAAAAAGCAGAAATGTACCTCTATGGATTATGGAGACTTAGATAAATCTTTTATGTTAAGGTTCCCATAGTGAGCTACACTTACATTCACATCTACTCGCTCATATAGAGTAATGCTGAAGAAACTAGGAATTGTCATTGAGCTTAACATGAAATTCTAAAAAAGCCTTCTGAAAAGTTTGTATCCTTGATGGACGGGACTTGAAAGCAGAAGCAGCTCCATAGCTTTTGTCACAAAGATCCTTAGGGTGATACCAGGTCCTGTCCCAATTAGGCTCATCACCTTTCCTGGGGCCATGCATGGTTGTTTATAGTTCTTCATTCTTGCCAGCAATCTACTTTTTCTTTAACAAATTAGCACCTACAGTTTATGAGTTCCACCAACAGATGGTCCTTACACATACAAGTCTCACCTCGAAAACGTTTGGATTTTAAATAAGGATGTTCTTTGCCCAAGTGGCATCTTCCCCAGCCAGCATAAATAGCTTGAGGCCGGAGGCAGTTCAATGAGGCTCAGGTGGTTTGGCTGTTGCAGACATAAGTTTCATATCCAATCTCCTCAAACTCCCCTTATATTGCTCTCAGTGAATTTCGAGTACCAAGGAAAGGGATTGGAATAAATTCTTCATTGTAAAGGATATCTTGGAGAACCACCGTCTGTCCATATGCTGTTGCTGTGAATAATCTAGGAGGAAGGTGGGTCTCTGTCCTATGCTGATGGGAATCAGTTCTGCGACCTCAGATCACAGGGGCTATCCCAGCTACTTCCAATTCCCACTAGACACCCCTCTTTCTTTCTATGGCATTGTAGGTCTTGATAATCTCTGTTAAAAACACAGGAATTTTAAGTACTTGCCAGGTGTTATGCCAGAGCAAAGAGAACATTGGCTGGTTCACTAACAATATATAATTTTTAAAATGTTATGTATATGAGTGTTTTGCAGTGTATGTCTGTCTACCACTTGCATGCTAGTGCCCACAGAAGCCAAACGAGGGCATGAGATCCCCTGGAACCTGAGTTACAGATGGTTGTGAGTCACCATGTGAGCGCTGGGAATCACACCCACATCTTCTGGAAGAGCAACCAGATCTCTTAATCTCTAGGTCATCTCTCTAGCCCAGTAACCATATGTAATTCTTCAGGGTTAGGCACAGTTCTAGACCTTACAAATAAAAAAGATGTATCTCATATGCACAGTGTTAGTGCTCCTGGAACATATGGTCAAACAGATAGGCAGCAAAACTGTTGGGTACATCTTCTAGTACATAAGGTTCACAATGAAATTCCAGAGGCCTGATATACCAACTGCTTTTGAAGCCTTCATAGAAGAAATAATGTTGGATATGGATTCCCAAATAATGACTGTCACAACCCACGAATTAGGTCCTCAGCATGCTGACAGGGCCACATGAATTACTTTATACATGCACCAGGATTAGATGGCAGCACCAGTTCAGGGATGGAGCAGGATCTCCCCAGAGGTCTAGGGAGCCTTCTCTGAAAAGAATTATACATATGGAAAATGAACTACTGGCCTTGTATGAAGGTAGTTCTCTTGCTCCCTCTCCTGGTCCAGCCTCCAAAATAATGTTTCTATCCTTTGTTTGCAAGACAAGAGTCAGAAAATTCTTGGACTTGGCTGTTTCCATTCTTTATGCTCACATCAGCTTTCAAGTTGTGATGTTCCCAATAACTTATCAAAGTGTGGTATGCAAGCCGGCAGCGTAAACCTTACTTCAGAATTGCTAATCATGCAAATTCTTAACTACCTGAGACCTGCTCAGTCAGACCAGTGTCCATGATAAAGATTTAGTACCATTTTCACAGATTCTAGGTCAGCAGGTTGATCAAATAAACCCTTTGCCTGCTATAGCAGCACTGCCATAGGCCTCACCTTCCTGGTCTTGACCGCTAAAGCCAACTTCAGCTTTTATGTGATAGTCTCCTCTGTGGTACTGAGATCCTCTGACTCTAATATTCAGCTCATTACTGTACCCTTGCCTGGCTATTGACCTTTCTCATCTCCAGGGAGAGAGTAATGTATATGACTGTGACACGGTAAAGACTTGCGAAGACCAGAGAGATGGTGCAGAGAATCTGGTGTAGTGCTCTGACCTTTCAGAGATGATTCAATATTGCCAGTTGTCCATGACTGCTGTACCTTTTATTTTGAGTGTAGAATGCTGAATGATTACATGCTACATCATAAGAGCCTTGTAAGGGATAGTTGATGCTCCTTGTGCACTTCACCCAGAGTCTCAAAACTGACTGAGCCAGTTCTATAAAGTGTATATAAAAAGTGTGTCATGGTGTGGATTTTGAGTGCCTTCATCTTCTTCCATCATGCCAAGCTCTTCAGTAGTATGTAAACCCAACACCATTAGGGTCCCTTCTATCACTAATCATTCATCATTCCAGGATGTAGTTGTGTTTGCTTCTACTTTCAACCCATTGCCTGTCACAAAGGCCTATAACAACAGTTTCATAATGAAGATATTGAGAAAATATATTTCTATACAATTGTAATATATACTGAGATTGCTTATAGGAAACCATAACAAGAGAACAGGATTGACCAAGCTAGGTGGCCAATAAGTCACCATGAAGGCTCTTTCCTCAGACATCTCTTTGAGAATTAATTCTAGATCCAACAATCTCTTCCACAGCTGAATTATGCTCAGTGTATTTCTCAGTTTATTTCCAGAGCACTTAGATGCCTTGGAAAATATGATCTTTGAACAAACTCCTATCTTTTCTCTTAATAGGCGCTAATGTTTTTTGTGTGTTCATGTGTGTATATGTGTATGCATATGTCAAGGCTTTTCCTCAGTCATTCTCCACCTTAAATTTTTGAGACAGTGTCTGTCACTAAACCTAGAAACTACCAATTTGGCTAAAATGACTGGCCAACAAGTCCCATGGTGCCTCTTGTCTTTGTTCCCCAGCTGTAGGATTATAGACATGTGCTTCTTGCACTGTTTTTGCTGCTGTTGTTGTTTTTCCTTGGTGCTGGTTGATCAGTTCTCAGGCCCTCATGTTTCTGCACCAAGTACTTCCCAGCTGAGCCATCTCCTCAGCGCCAAGCGTGAAGACTTAGTGCCCATTTTTAAACTTACTTTGGATTAGATGCTTCCTAGAACAAGCCTGTGGAGCTGGACAGTCTTTGTTTCCACTTTGACATCACCCTGTACCTCAAGACACAGGAACAATTCTTGAGAAAAAAAGTACACCAGAACTCACAAAGAAAAAGCGACATGAAATGGTGGCTCCTGCTTACTCAGGAAAGACAATCTCGAGTTGGATTCACCCTGGATGGGTTCCACTCTTTCTTCTTGTCACTGTAGCTGAGCGATACCACTGTCAACTCAAACCAAAGTTAAGCACGTGTGCCATTAGCTTGAAAAACTGTCTCCTGTGCAGAAAGTTCAAGGTAAGTCACACAAATTGCAAAGATAGGCCAGTATAACCAGGCAAGGTGATGCTTTGGTTTGGAAACAAGCAAGGCCCCATGCATGGATGCATCCATTGCCTTGCTGTGAGCAAGGAGGTTTTGATGAGGCACACACACTTTAAGAGGTAGGACATCAGTGACTCATGTCCGGATGTGTTGCCTTGCAACCAAATTGAGTATTCAATTGAAATACCTCCTTGACAAGAAATACCAGTCCTTGCTTTTATCACAGAGTCTTGTATGAGTTCATTTCTAAACACCACAATGCCATCAAAACATGGAATTTTCCATGACTTCAGATCCAGCCTCTTCCACATAACTTACAACTTCAATTTTGGTTTCATTTGAAGCAGTTTTCTGCAAAAGAAAACATCTCCCTTACATGTTTAGCAACTAGGAAAAGTTAAGTGGAAAGGAGAAAAAAAAATCATAAGCTTATCTCCCAAACATACCTACTGCATCTACTAAGCTTTTTTTGAAGTAAATGTTTTCTTTTATAATCATAATAAAGTAACAGGGACACACACCTTTATCTTCAGAAAATGTATTATTGTCATTGTTGTTGATGATGATGATGTTCTGCCACTGAGATATATTCCCCCTGGTCTTGTATAGGTGTTTGAATTTTTTCTTTATAATATCATGTAATATTTTAAGTATACTTTGTATTTTGGAATTTGTGGTATTGTTATTGTTCTGGGGAATAAGCCTTGTCCATGTTAGGTAGGTATTCTGTTCCCGAGATACACCCCCAGTTTGATGTAATCATTTTTAGTATTTCCATCATACTCCACTCACTGATTACAATAATATGAACTGGAGGCTAGAGATGTAGTTCAGTTTGTAGAGGGCTAGTCTAACATGTACAAAGCCCTGGATCATATTCCAAGCAATGAAAAAACATGGTGTAAAGGTACATGTCTGTAATCTGAGCACTTAGGAGGTAGAGGCAGGAGAATCAGACATTCAAGGCAATACTGAGCCTTGAATGTGTATATATATATATACACATTGTGTATATATACACACACACCCAGGGTGAGGCCAGCCTGAGCTATATGAGATCCTGTCTCAAAAAAATTAAAAAAAAAAGGCTTCTAGTAAATTGGAACATTTGTTTTATCTAATTTTGGACATAACACTTAAAGCTAATAATAATTAAAATTCTGTTAAAAAATATCATCTACAAAAGATGATCTTATTTTTCCTCATGTACTCATCCAGCACATTTTTAACACCCATTCTACTCTAAAAAAAAAAAGTGCTATATATTGGGCACAATCTGAGAAACACACATGGTTTCTGCATCACACACTCTATATTATTTATAGTGGGAGTAACGTGGGAAAAGTCCCCTCTGGTTACCACTGCAGAAAGCCAACTAGAAAGTCATTGCTAATAAATTTTAAAACTCAGAGGGAGAGCTAAGAAAAACTCTTAGCTGTATATTGAATGTTGTAAAATAATTTCTTAGGTGAACTCTGAAAAAACACAACCTTGCTTAGCCACAGCTTCTGGATAGTCATGTCTTTTAGAGGCCCGTGATTTTGAGCATTCCTACCAGGTATGGAGGTAGTAGTTGCAATGAGCCCCTCAACCTACTGCTTTGCATCTGTAGGTTCAAACAAGTATTCTTGTTGTTATTCCTCAGACTATGTATTGTGCTTGTCTTAAGTAATTTTAAGAGGATTTACAAAGCGCGGCAGACTGTGTAGAGTCTAAGAAAATACCGCATCGCTTTTGAATAGCACAGCCTTTGATATCCACAAGGGGTCTTGAACCAAGTTCTTACCCTCATTACCAAGGATCAGCTCTAAAAGGAGAGAGCTTCATTTTCTACTAGTCAGGCACTTCCCAGGGGTCATGGTGCCCATAGCACCAAAGAGCCTTTGCTTTCTTATATCAGGGTCCCCGTGAATAGAATGGATATCTGCTACCTTTGGGTAGAGAGGCTAGAACACAATACTGCTGCAAGCGGTCCTGCTGTGGTCAGCTCTGTACGTACTCACGTGCTGTCTTAGGTTGAGATAACCTCCCCTTCTTTTTGGTCCCTAATTATCTGTGCCTGTCACTTACTTCCTTCTCCCTTCTCTACAATCTTTCACATAAAACTCTTCAATGGGTGCATAGGGTAACTTACGCCGAGAAGCCAGGCCATCTTGGCATTAATGCTATGCATATTCTGAAACCAGCTTATCTACCCACAGTATTCTACACACACGACTTGATTTTAATTAACAGAATTCCAGAAGCTCAAAAAATAAGCTCCTAAGCCAGTTTCATTCACCAATCTCAGCATATTAATAGAATACTTCCAGGCCCTATAGGGAAAGTAGGTATCAGCTTTCAAATGTTTCATTAAGAGAACAGGGCAAATGATGGAAGTGTCACTTTTAACTCTAGGCTGCTGCGTTCTGCTGTTTTAAGAGGAAGGAACAATGCACACTTAAATGAACAGAGGGAGATCTGCACATGGCTTGCTCCTTTCCAAAAAGCCATAGGTGATCCAGCATGGGTAGGCTTTTTCTGCAGTGAAGGATATAAAGATCAAAAGCATGTCACCATGACTCTAGTGAGCCTCAATTCTTTACCTCAGTAGCTTAGTAACCCTACTGCCTGTTCATCATTCCAGCGTTAAACTGCAAAGGACTCTAAAGAAATTTTGGAGTTTAGTGAAGTTATCCTTATTGGCGAATTTTGGTAATCTTTCCCTGTAACGAGCCAAGAAACACTTCATTCACATCAGTTGAAGAAACATCTAAGTTTGGTAAAAAAAAAAAAAAAAAAAAAAAATACTCCTTGATCTAAATCAGGAGTTAGTAAATGAAGCCCAATCTGTCTGGCTTGTTATCTGTTTTTGTAAATAAAGTTTTATAACATAGCCATGCTTATTCATTAGTACTTTTTTTTTTATAGACACACTCTTTCTAGCAAACAATTCTACCTTAAATGCTTATTGAGTCTTTAGGGGAAGAATTTGCTGCCCTCTATCTCAGTAGCCACTCCCCTGAAAGATGAGCTCGACAACGTGCAATAACCATACACAGAAAACCTTGAAATGTTACTGACAGAAACTAAAGAAGACCTCAAAATATGGAGATGCCGATAATAGTGTTAGGATGATGCTTTCCCCCCAAATTAACCACAAAAGTTCAAATATACCACAGACTCCCAGTCTCCTGTCTTTAACCCCAGCATTCAGGAGGTAGTCAAGTAGACCTGTGAGTTTTAAAGACAGCTTGGTCTACACAGGGAGTTCTAGCCTGCTCAGAGCTACATAGTTTTATCTTGTCTAAAAAAAAAAAAGAAAGAAAATCCAGTTGCCTATATTTTTCTTATCCCATTACACGACTCTCTTCTCCCACTTGTAGCAAATGGCAGGTGGGTTCTAAAATGTATGTAATAATTTAAAAGAGTTAACCAAAATGGCTTGGGGGAAAACACCTTTGGATGCCTCAGCCTACATGGTGTTGAGTTTTACAACAAAGTTATAGTAATCATGATAACATTGTGCTGGCAGGATCTCATCTATGCCTCTTACGTACAGAATGTACATGAGATTCATACAGAGTGGAAATTTAAGTTTAAATGGCAAGAGTCCTCATTGTTGAATAAGACTTTTGTAAAATGTAGGGAAAATAATAATATCTATAGCTAATTGCACACACACACACACACACACACACATACACACACAGGAAATGAGTGAGAGTGGTGTTGACTGATGCATGTATACATAGACATACAGGGGAAGCTTGATAACCTAATACTCATCCCTGGGCACTTAGGATGTCACCTCTCTGTGTCGGTTAACATTACCTCATATTCAGTCACCACAAGGAGATCTTTGATGTTACTCTTTGGAGCGGGAACTGGTGGAAACAACCTGGTCCAGAGGTGACACCTGACAACAGGGGAGGAACTGAGTGAGCATAAACAACTCTCTTGCCTAGATTTCTGCTCAAACATTGACCGAATCCGTTCCACACACAGCTGTGTTATAAGTTTGGCTTCTCTGTTGGTTAAGATTTCTAAACATCTTCAACCTAATGTGGTAGCACACGCTTTAATCCCGGCACTCAGGGAGGCAGAGGCAGACAGAGTTAGAGGGCAGCCTGGCCTACAAAGTGAGTCTAAGGCAGCCATGGCTACACAGAGAAACCCTGTCTTTAACCCCCACCCCCCCACACACACACACAAGATTTCTAAAACATCATCATTGAGGATGGGGTTCTGCTAGCCTGAGATATGGCTTCTGAGATCTCCAGGCAAGAGGAAGTCAGAACGTATTCACATTGGAGCTCATTGCTTCACTTCTAAAGATGGGTTAACAGCATCCTTTGCTTGGCTTCTTGTTCACTGCTCTTTCTCTTCTAGCTGTCCTCCTTCAACTGTGCTAAATTCACAGTTGCCTCTTCTTGCCCTTTCCTTTGAACTGCTGTCCATCACCTACACTTAGCATCTAAATATAACATGTTAATGAGAAATGCCACGTAATATGAAAGTTACTTCCTAAATTGTTAGGCTAAAAAAGAACTTTACCTTAGTGAGGGAGAGAGGAAGGGAGGAAAGGAGACAGAGAGAGAGAGAAAATATGAATCGATGTAGCCATTTGCAGGCTGCAAGCTGAGATATGAGATCTGTGCAGACTTTAGAGAAGCTGCATTTGATATGAAGCCAGTCAGCCTCGCTGGACCAGGAGCTTGAAAGCCAGGCAGAGGTCAACCCCTGACTACAGAGGCCTGTATGGGAAAGGCAGTGTAGTGGCTTCAGACTTGGGTGGACGGCTGCGTTTTCATAGCAGATGTTAAAAGACAAGCAAGCTGTGAAGGAAAAGAACGCAGTGGCTAAAACCTCTACAGAACTGAAAATAGTCAACAGATTTGAGGAGTGTGCGGTGGCTAAGGACCGTGCTGTGTCTTGTGTAGCTTCTGTATGACATGTTTTATTTTGTCTCCTCTTGCCTGCTAAGGGCAGCCTGAAAGAGCACGCTGTAAATTCCGACTGATAACAAGAAGCCTTGTGTAAGGGCTGCACAGCAGCCTGCGAATGCTGCCCTTGAATGTAGAGAATACCTACAGTCGGCAGATGAGTGAGAAGACTAACAAGACGAAGCAGATGGTTGTTGGAAGCACGATGAGGCACCATTCTGCCAAGGGCTTCTTTTCCTTTCCTGGTGCGAGAGAGAGGGGAGAGAAAGAGCAAAGTCAAAATCAGGGAGGATCATTAAAATGAAAGGGAGGGGGTGTCAGAGGATTCAGGTTTGAATGGAAGGTGTTGGGTGAAGGAGATAACTCATGTCTCACAGGTTGTTATAAGTGGAAGTGAAACCGTGGCAGTAAGGCCTTTTAATTACTATTAATTTAAGCATGACTAATTTAGTTAGTCAGTGTTTTGGAGTCCACCCCTACTCAGGTGACTCATAGAGCATTAGGTGGAAAAGCTACAAAAGCATAAGGCTACTCAATAACCTCATTAGAATACAGGGAAATCGATTTTTACCTACTTGGAAATGAAACTTATGGAGGAAATATGAGAAAAATATTCATAGTTATCAGTGCAGGCATACTGTCTACATTAAATGCTTTATGACTGAAGTTAGCCTCAAAGCACCTCTTATTCCCATTTAATTGATCAGGAAATAAAAAGAAAACTGTCATAATCAGCATAGCGAGGTTTATGCATGTTATCCTAGTCTCTAATTTGTTCCTTTTCAATATTCAGAGGATTCTTCTATGGTCTTTAAAGACTACATCAAACTGTGAGAAGGAGGGCAGAGTGGGGGTGTGGAGTCAGTGTTTGTCTGTTTGATTTTACGGATGCAGCTCTGAAAAACCATCAAAGGTCCATAACTAAGTGGTGTGGGCAGAAGTAGTGTTCCTTCTAAACAGCCTGACTCACTTTCAGAGAAGAAAATCAAATCCTGAGTTATAGTTAGTGCTCTTTCCTAGGGAGAGCACTGACCCATCCATCCATCCATCCATCCATCCATCCATCCATCCATCCCTCCATCCATTCATTTATTCATTTATCCATCTATCCATTTAGCAAGGGTCTATTAGGCTTTTCCTAGGTACAGAAGTTACTATGACACAGAGGTTAAGAGAATGCCTTTGATATCTCCCATCCTGCAGCTTGAAGTCCATCAGGGGAGACCAGCAGAAAGCACATAGTGACTCAGGCCATGATTTGAGGATAGCAGTACTTTATAAGTATCGTGGTAAAGTGCAAACCGTGCTAAAGCAGGATAAAAGGCAATAAAAAGCAAACCTCGATTTGCACTAATTTCTTTTATACAGCAAGAAATGTATGCAAATGGGGATTTTCCCACATGTCAATATCCTAAGACTTTCAAAAAAAATTCAAGTCATTCAAAACCCACAAACTGTTCAAGTACCACGGAAGAGAGACATCTGGATTTAATGCTAGTGATTCTTGCCTCTCCTCTCCTCATCTCTTTCCCATTGCCTTCTCAGCATCCCTGGTCAGGTTTTTTTCTCTGCCTGCCCAAAACTTTAATCTCTTCCTTAATCTCATCCTTTCTGCTTTCAAATATGCATAGAGTCTATTATCTGCTATGACTCTGCTCAACCATCCTCCCCAGCTTTCATCACAAACTTTTCTCTCTCATTGCCCAGCCTGGTTTCTTGAATAAAGATTAAGGCTTCTGTATTTTCATACCTTAGAAAAGGTAGGACATACTTTAATATATATTTTGTGGCAGAGTCCCATATACTCTTAGACTGGTCTCAAACTCAGTATGTAGCGGAGGATGAACTTGAACATCTGCTCTTCCTGCCTCCACTTCCTGAGTGTTCTATCATACTTCCTTTATGTCCTGCTGTGGATTAAACCCATTGTTTTGTACATGCTAAGCAAGCATTCCACCAAGTAAGGCACATCCCAGCCCATCCCTTAAAAAAATTGTATTATTATATATTGATTGTTCAAAAATCACAGGATTCTCTCTCTCTCTCTCTCTCTCTCTCTCTCTCTCTCTCTCTCACATGCCTGTCATATTGGTCCCATTGCCATCTCCATTTTGAATTCAAACTGTCCACAGCTGAATTAAGGAAAGCCATGGCTTTATTGAAATGGTCTCATTCTTCTATGGCACTTCCCTTCTTAAAAAAATTCTGCTGGTTCCCTTTCAGTATATCCCTTGATCACTTCTTATCTCAGTCTGTTCTTTAAAGCATTGAAATTTTGTTTGTCAGACTTATACATTATAATTCCATGCTACCCTAAACTCTTTTCTTTTTCCTGGCACTTCCCTGACATGTAGCTCTCAGTTTAGATAATAAACTCCTCCTAGCCCTAACTCACTTGAGTATTTTGCAAACCTGAGGACAGTCACAGCCAAACTTGTGTTCTTCATTTCATTTAACCTATTTTCAGCCAAGCATGAGGCTGCATAACTGTAATCTCAGAAACTGAATGGCCAAGGCAGAAGCATGGTGAGTTAGGGACGCCCCTTCTCCCAGGGATTTAAGCAGTGAGAGCCTGTCTCAAAACAAACAGAAGAAGCAAAAAACAATCAAAAATTACTTCTTTCACCAGCTTCTCTATTTTGGTCTCTACCCTTTCAAGATGCAAATCCATATCTCCTTGGATAGATAGATAGATAGATAGATAGATAGATAGATAGATAGATAGATAGATAATTTCTAATTTTTATAGTTTCTTGTCCTTCTTCACTCCCTCAGCATACTTGATCTCTAAATACAATCATAAATGCAAAGCTACTTGCTTCTGATTTCACATCTATCTTTGCTTAGTCTGGAGACCTGAGTTCAAGACACAGCTTGAAATTGAAGCTGGATAATTTGGTAGTCTCACCTCAAACCAAGTTAAAACATAGGATCCTTCAAATCCACCCTTCCCCTAAACAGCCTTTTTTTTTTCCCTGCTAATACTTATTCTATTCAAAGCACCAGTACTTCATTACATACCCCTTAAAGAAGACTAATTTTACAAAAGCAGTACATTTTCATTGCTAACAGTTTGAAACTTATAAAGTATAAGAACATACATGTCATCACTAATGAGGATTAACTAAAAATGTATTCTCTACACATACTTTATATGTACTTTTTTTGAGTGGCCAGACAGACCTATACACCTTTAATTTTCTTCCAGAGGGCCAGGGGCAGATGGAAAAACTGAAACTGGGAATGGGAGAAAAGTCAAATGAGTACACATAACTATCATTCAGGGAAACCAGAAACAAAACCCAGGATTGGCCAATGACTGCATCCCTAAATCTAATGTAGATTTAATGTAGGGTTTCCGGCTCATTCCTCTTCATGTGCAAAATTGAGGATTTGCTGTGAGCTGGCTTTGCTTCGTGTAGTCTAGGTGTTTCTTTATGTAGTATATACCAGGTGTGTTTTCATTTAATAAATTCTAGTCTATTCTAAGTGTCTCTTTACTTAGTATGTTCCAGGTGTTTCATTTGTAAGTGTATTCTAGGTTTTTTTCTTTACTTGATGTATTAGATGTTTCTTTGGCATCAAGAACCATGCCCTGAGCATCATCACCTCTGTGGCTGGATCTATTTTACTGCAGTAACAGCTTGTTTTATGTCAGATGTGTATTTTTGAAGCCTCTTCTTCCTCAACAGTATGTGAACATGTTCTCTTGCACTTACTTTACCTGTCAACCTATATTTTCTTTGATGTGAAGCTCACAATTCTTGTGTTCTTAAGTAGAAGTTGTCCTCTTCACATGTTGATATGAGAGAGGAGCCTGGGGCGGTTAACACTTTCCCATCACTGGCCATGCCTATGCTTGAGATTGGCTGCTCTACAAACTTTCAGTGCCCTTGACATTTCCAGGCTCTCAGTGGGACTGAGTCATTTCATTAAAACCCTGAGCTAGGGCTGGAGAGGGGGTTCGGTGATCAAAAGCTTATACTGTTCTTGCAGAGGACTAGGGTTTTCTTCTTACCACATACATGAGGATGTGTAAAACTGTCTTGTGTCTCTGGCTTCAAGTGATCTTATCTCTTCTGGCCTCTGAGGGAAACACACACATGTACATAAACATATACCCAGACACACCCACATTCACATCCTTCAAAAAAAAATTCTTAGGAACTTCAAGTCTGTCTCTTTTCTTTTTTTTTTTTTTTCAGTGTTTTTGTATATATTTTAAGCAGATATTAGCACATCCTGGAATGCTGGAATATGCCTGTCACCCTAGCATTTGAGAGACAGAGACATGAGAATAAAAGAATGTCAGAGGCCAGCATGATTTACACAGTTACGGGACAGTAGGGCTGCATAGTATGATACTATGTGTTGTTGGATTTTTGTTGTTGTTGTTTCTTCTCCTTTTTTATTTTAAATAAAAAAGGCATTGAAAGTTATTAACCATTAACCATGTTGTCTCTTTGTTCATAACTATGTTACAAGGACACACGGCAAAACTTTGAGTCCTGTGAAAAGCACAAAATGTGTTGTAAATATTATCATGGTCACACAATCATTTGTGGTTCAAATTGTATAATATCCACTAGCCTGATCTGCCCAGTCCTGATAACAGTACCGTTGTCTTCTAACCATGATTACAAAAATCTTTTCAGTTACACCACTGGTTTATTCACCTTTCCTCTTACTTAGATGAGCAAAAGTCATGGAGATAACTGATTTTACTTCATCCATCTAAAAATGTTCTCAGTTCTCACTACATGGAAATTACCATGTAGGAGGCACAGTCATGGTCAGTGATTGGAAGGAGTTAACCTCTCCAGGCTCCCCTCCCAAATCAGCATGTGACGAGTAAAACCTGATTGTGCTCAATACAAGCATTCTGAGCTCCACCTCTAAGAAAATACAAGCCAACAGGTAAAGTCAGTGCAAGAAAGCATGCTCACGTACTGTTGAGTAAAAATGACTTGCAAATTACTAGCAGTTCAGTTACTGAAATTTTATTCCTACTTCTCCTCCTCCCCCAATAGTTATTTATTTTATGAGGGAGGGTTGTAGATACCAAGGCACATGGGTACAGATCAAGGGACAGCTTGGAGGAGTCAGCTCTCTCTTATCACCATGTGGGGCTCAGGGATTGAACCAGGTCATCGGTCTTGGCAGTGAGCACCTTTACCTGCTGAGTATCTTACCAGTTGTCCTATAAATAAAATGGGGGGGGGAGTGTTATATATATGAGTAT